AGGGTGGATTGGCCGTGCTAAACTGTCCCATAGTGCCCAGGGATGTGCAGGTTAGGGTGGATTGGCCGTGCTAAATTGCCCCATAGTGTGCAGGCTAGGTGAGATAGCAATGGGAAATGCAGGGTTATGAGGATAGAGTAGGGGTCTGGGTAGGATGCTCTTTGGAGGGTCAGCGAAGACTCGATGGGCTGAATGTCCTCTGTCCACACTGTAGGGATTCAATGATTCTAATTCCTTCTTCGTTAGCCTCTGCATCCTCAACATATTTTAATTGTAAGCAAGTTTTTATAGAAGTTTGTACAATCATGACAACGGGGGAGTTCAGAACTAGGGGACATATTTCTAATGTGAGAGGAGAAAGATTTAAAAAAAGACATGAGAGGCAACTATTTCACACAGAGAGTGTTTGGTGTGTGGAATGAACTGCCAGAGGAAGTGGTAGACGCTGGTACAGTTGCAACATTTATAAGACATTTGGATAAGTACATGAATAGGAAAGGGTTGGAGCGATATGGACCAAACGCAGGCAGGTGGGACTGGTTAAGTTTGGGAACATGATCGGCATGGACTGGTTGGACCGAAGGGTCTGTTTCCATGCCGTAGGTCTCTATGGTGAGCATTAACTGTGGGATTCAATTTGCTCCTAAAAAAACAGGAACAGAAACAGTGGTGGGTGGGTTAGGAGTTAAACGATTGTAACGTGTATCTCTGCGAATAAAAGGTACTTTTTTGTAAAGATTAGGCTGTGGTTTTATCCTTCACTGCCTGGAATCATGGAATAACACATAAATGATTTGTTCACTATCACTGCTTGCTCGTGGATTTCTTGTCTCGGCAGTACATAGGTAGCAGAGTGCAGTGTTTAACACTGAGTTGAGATTCTCGTGTTTTACTTTGTGTTGGTCATCTTTGCCCCTTGACACAGATATCAACGAATGCTTGGAGGTAGCGGGTGTCTGCAACAACGGACAGTGTGTCAACATGCCAGGATCCTATACGTGCCAGTGTCTGTCAGGTTTCCAACTGTTCGATGATACGAGGTGTAAAGGTAACGACTGAGGGATAGAGCAATTCAGCATTTGCATGGAGCAGCCACTAGCTCCTGGAACGTCTGCCTCTCCACATCTCCCATTTCTTTTACTCAATGTTTTATTGTTGCATGTACCTGGGTGCAGTGGAAAGTTTTGTTTTGCGTGCAGTGCAGGCAGATCGTAACCGTACCAAAGTTCGTAAGGGTGACAGAACGGAGCGAGGAATTCGATGTTACAGCTGCAGAGTAGGCGCACAAAGAGTGAGATCAACCTTAGATCTAAAATTTGAGAGGTCCATTCAGAAGTCTAAGGGGCAGCACGGTGGCTCAGTGGTTAGCGCAACTGCCTCACGGCGCCAGGGACCCGGGTTCGATTCCACCCTCGGGCGACTGTCTGTGTGGAGTTTGCACATTCTCCCTGTGTCTGCATGGATTTCCTCCGGGTGCTCCGGTTTCCTCCCACAGTCCAAAGATGTGCAGATTAGGGTGGATTGGCCGTGCTAAACTGTCCCATAGTGCCCAGGGATGTGCAGGT